TGTACACTGCCGGTAGGAGTGTAAAATAGTGCAGCCATTATAGAAAATGGTATGGAAGTTCCTCAAAAAATTAAAAATAGAATTATCATATGATCCATCAATGTCACTTGTGGTTACATATCCAAAAGAACTGAAAGCAAGATCTCAGAGGCATATCTGCACACTCGTGTTCCCTGCAGCGTTATTCATGACTTTCAAGAGGTGGAAGTAACCCAGGTTTCCAATTTGTCCACCTATGGATGCGTGGATAAAGAAAATGTATTATTTACATACATGGCAAAGAAGATCAAGGTTGCAGATGGAATTAAGGTGGCTAATCAGCTGATCTTACAAGAGAGAGGTTATCTGCCTTGGCCCAATATAATCACAAGGGTCCTTAAAAGTGGAAGGAGACAGAAGAGAAAGATGTGAGGACCAAAGCAGAGTCATAGTAGTACAATGTGAGAAAGACTGTTGCCTTTTGTCATCTGTTGGCTTTGGAGATGGAGGAAGGGGCCATGTATGAGTCCCCTCAGGCTGCCATGACACAATACTATAGACTGGATGACCTAAACAACAGAAATTTACTTTCTTACAGTTCTGGAAGCTGAAAGTACCAACAGTGAGAAGATCGAGGGAGAAGGGAAGCAGTAAGGACTCCTCCCGTGCTCTTGGGACCACAGTCCCTCCGGCCAGGAAGAAGTGTTCTTTCCCAAGGATTTCAGCTGCCTGCCCAGACACCACTGCTGGCAGGCCCTGCCACTGTCACTACAGCACTGCCTGGGGGATGCACTTCACTCTTTCTGATACAGGAGCCCCATGTCTCTTTCTGGACCATAAAAGCAAAGGGAATGTCTTCTGGAGATTATCCTCACTTTCTGCTTGAACCCAATGTGTGGGTTTGGGTTTCAGCCTTCCCTTCAGTCAAAGCCCCAGATACTGGGAGGGGGAGAGACAGAAATTCACCCTGAGTTTGTTGGCAGCTTGCAAGGTAGTTTCCTTCCAGGTCTGCTTGCTCTCTTACTTCTCAGAGCCCTCAGAAAGATGCTCCACATGTTCTGTCTAGAGTATTTATTCATTCATTCATTCATTCATTCACTCATTTTCTTTTAACCCCAGTACAGTTAACATATAGTGTAAGGTTAGTTTCAAGTGTACGACATAGTGATTCAACAATTCTGTATATACAAGGATACATACAAGGACCAGTGCTCATCGTGACAAGTGCCCTCCTCAATCCCCATCACCTGTTTCACTCATCGCCCTGCCTGCCCGCCTCCCCACTGGTGACCATCAGTTTGTTCTCCATAGTTAAGAATCTGTTTTTTTATTTGTCTCCCTCTCTTTCTCACTCCCTCTTTTTCCTTTGCTTGTATGTTTTGTTTCTTAAATTTCACCTGAGTGAAATCATATAATTGTCTTTCTCTGACTTATTTCACTTAACATAATACTCTCTAGCTCCATCCAGGTCATGGCAAATGGCAAGATTTCATTCTTTTTTATGGCTGAGTAATATTCTGTTACAGATATACCACATCTTCTTTAACCATTCATCAGCCCACGACACTTGGGCTGCTTAGAGTTTTTAACTGCATTCAGTGGGAGAAACAGGATGGAGTGCGCTTTCTTCATTTCAACCAAAACTGGAATCTGTGTGCTGGTTTTTGCCCTCTTTCTACATAGAGTGTGCTCCTTTTCAATGCCCCTTTTTTGGCTTTCTCTATTTGATGGGTTTTAAATATTAGTGTTCCTCTAGTTTCATCTTCAGCAATTTTCTCACTCTATACTCTCTCCCCAAGCTCATGCTAACCATGTTCATCACTTCATTATGTATGTGCAAATATGTCACAAGTTTCCATCCCCAGGCTGATCTTTCTCACTAATTAAAACCTGCATATCCAACTGATCCTTGATATTTCTGCTTCTCTATCTCAAAGTCATGACAAATTCAACATGTCTAAAACACAACCCCACCAAAAGTCTTCTTTGACACGTAGAGGTCACCTTTGACATCTTCAGGAATGATCAAGTACCTCATTGAGTTGTCATCAGAAGTTTATTGCATGCATATTTTTATTCAACAGATGGTCACTGAGCGCTTGGTCCTTCACAAAAAGTCTATACTGAATGTCTTCTCTGTGCCAGACCTTGTGCTAATGCCTAGGTATACAATGTTTAAGGAAATTGACATAGTCCTTGCCTCCATGAACCCGCACACTAGTGCAGTTGGTATGAAACAAGCAAACCCACAAACTATAACTAAGTTACAAATTATGATACATGTTCTTAATAAAAGAAGCAAGACAGAGCACAATGCTTCCATGAAACTAGAAAGAGTTGTGTGTTCCAAGAGCAAAGGATGTAAATGGCAGGTAATCAGATTAAGAAAGTCCCTGAATGTCACCTTAAGGACTTCAAGTTTTTGAGTAATAAAAGCCACTGAGGGATTTAAGCGGGGAAGTAACACGATCAGATTTTTCTACAGCACAGATCTGGTTATGTAATTGTTTTGGAATTGGCTTTCTGTCAGATGTCGTTTTACCTTCTCTGTCAAATATATTCCTCTTTGTAACAATACCTGAAAGGGATCCCTTACCTGAGGCTCTAAAAGTTATGACTGCAATTAGCATTGGTTGGGATGGAATCGAACCCAAATGAAAGAATGCACCATGTACCAATAATTAACTTCGGTGTTGCTGGTAATAAATAAAACACACTGAGATTTATGTTCACTTGTTTTTCATTGCCACTTTATGTACCATGTGGCTGTAATGACTGCAACTCCTAACTTCTTAGTTAACAGCTGCTACACCGAGATCTGCCCCGATCCCAGCATGAGTCCTTTTCTGACATCTTGGTCATTTCTAATCTGTTTCAGTGCCCCATTTTGATCCACATCCCATTCTGAAACTCTTGTTTCCATGCCAATTTGCTCAGTTTCTTGCGTCAAAGTTGGTTACTAATTACAGAGGTTGCCCAGTGGCTGTGTCTTTAAGTTCTCATAATTCACTATTCGTAGTAAAGATTTCAGATACGTCTGTAACTGCTGTTATTCCTGTTTATACTTGGTACCACAGATATAGCAGTGAACTCCGGAAGGCAGATCATATAATAAAAATATTATATATATATATATATATATATATATATATATAATCATATAATAATAAAAGACACCGACAGAATGCCCCTTCATGATGACTCTGAAATTACCAAGAAACGAATGTGGTATCTGGTTGTGAAGGCTGAGGCATCTGAGCAGGAAAAATAATTACATCTGGGATGAAAGCTTTGTGGTCAACTCACCTCTATTACCCCAAAGCCATATACTCAGGGCTTGCTTTCCTCCTCTACTATCAAACATCTCTTGGCATCAATATCTGGCATCAGATTTGTCCCCTTGCTGCATCACCAGAATTTTTTTTTTTTAGAAAGGGATGTAGGGGCAGGGAGAAAGGGAGAGAGAGAATCTTAAGCAGACTCCACACCCAGTGCAGAACCTGATGCAGGGCTCAATCCTACAACCCTGAGATCATGACCTGAGCCGAAATCAAGAATCAGATGCTTAACCCACTGAACCACCCAGGTGCCCCAGCCATCACCAGAATTTTGCTGGGTGATAATGTCAGGTGTCATTTTATGTGGGTTACACATCCCCGAACATGCAATGGGAGTCTTAGATCTAAGGGAATAGTCTATGAGTGAAATCATCCAGAACTCAACATCCAATACTAAACTTTTTCAGTCTTTCATATGTTGAAATTTGTCAAGTGGGTTAACCTCCCTCCACTCAAAACCCTCCCCCCTTCCCTACTCAGGACGCGGAAGTAGGCCAATGAGAAGGCACACACAAAGACACAAACAATGGAAGGAAAAGCACAATTAAAAGCCAATAGGGGAGAAATGAGAACGAATTCTACTTTTACATGGAATGGCAGATTCTTGCCAGAAACAATGTCTCCCAAAGTAGGGTCATCTCAAAATCTGTCCCAGAATTTCTCAGGGATCTATGTTTAAATGCAGACTATCGGGACCTCACCCCAGAGCCACTGAATCAGAATATCCGGGGGCAGAGGCCTAGAGTCCGCATTTTTAACAAGCAGTATTTTAATACAAAAAAAAAAAAAAAAGTTTTAAAGCAATTAATAGAAACATGGTGTCTGCAATCATTGCATATTTTTAAAGCGAGAAACCTCATTGCCCTGTGGTGTTCCTTCACCCTCTCCAGAGATGATAGTTTCTTCTCAAGGGGATTAGTTCAAAGCTGGTGAATGTAGGAGTTTACTGAACGACTGCTGTAAACACAAAGGGGGGCACTATTACAGGTCCTCCTGCCCTCGTGAAGTCAATCATCCAATAAGGAGAAAAAGCTGACACACCAGAAAGCCTTCGTGCAGGGGCAGGATATGGATCCAATCTACACAAGGATCTATGAGCTTAGAGAAGGCAGGTCGGCAGGGGAGCCAGTCACAAAGGCACTGGGGGGCTTTAGTCAGAAAGTCAGGAGCTTCCACCCAGGGTTCTGTGACGAGGGAGCGGCCACAGCAGCAGCAGAATATGCTCCGTGGAGACAAGAGGAGGAAAAGGTTGCAGGTTGAGCTCTGCAACTGGGTGATGTTGAGCGAGTCTTTGGATTTTTCTCTCATTTTCTCATTTGCGTAACCAAGGCTAATCTCTATTATTTGTTTCTTTGTATTTTTACATGCCCACCTCATTCTAGAAAGATCTACAGAGAGAATATACACCAATTTCTTCTGGCACCAACATTCACCGACCGAATTCATCCATGCCTGCTCGGGGGGCAAATGTGGGAGGATGTTACAGACCAAAGCTTCTCTAGCCATGAAACATAGCAGACAGAAAATATTACCAAAGGCCAACTGGAACCTACTATTATCCACAGACAATGTCTTCGGTGAGCACATGTGTCCCAACTGTAAAATTATAGGGCTAGGGGTGACATCAGCGTTCTAAGGGTGAACAGAATTTCTGGTGAATTCTGCCAAGAGTGCACCCCTGAGTCAGAGACTTTCATGTGTTCGATACAATGGTATCTGGCCCAGCACTTTTCTCATGGCAGCTTTGACTTCTTTGTTTCTTAAGCTGTAAATGATGGGGTTCAACATAGGGGTCAGCACTCCATAGAGCAGTGAGATGACCTTATCTACTTCCTGTGAGCTCGAGGAAGAAGGCTTTAGGTACATGGAGAGGGCAGCCCCATAATACAAGATCACCACGGTCAAGTGCGCGCCACAGGTCGAAAAAGCTTTGCTTCTTCCCTTGGCTGAGCTGATTCTCAGGATGGTGGAAAGGATGAAGACATAAGAGATGCAAATTAAGAGCATCGGGATCGGCAGGAGGAGCACACTGACCACCAGCATGACCATGTCCACGAGCAGTGACTCTGCACAAGCTAACTTCAGCACGGCGAGGATCTCACATGTGAAGTGATCAATGAGATTCCCACAGAGGGGTACCTGCAGGGCAAAACTGGTTTCCAGCAGGGCGGTCAGACAACCCGTCACCCAGGAGGCAGCAGCCATCTGCACACAGACCTGCCTGTTCATGAGGACGGGGTACCTCAGGGGGTTGCAAATGGCCAGGTAGCGGTCATATGCCATCACAGCCAGGAGCACGCACTCTGTGGAGCCCATGGCAAGAGACAGATACATCTGAACGGCACACCCAGAAAACATAATGGTTTTCTGGGATGACAGCACGTTCACCAGCAAAGTGGGAATGGAAGCAGATGTGTAACAAATATCCATGAAAGAGAGATTTCCAAGGAACAAGTACATGGGGCTTTGGAGGCGTGCATCTAGGACAGTGATCAAGATCAGAGTGCTGTTGCCCAAGAGAGTTATCAGGAACATCACAAGGCTGAAGACGAAGAGGACAATCTCTAATGTTGGGTATCTAGAAAAACCCTCCAGGAAAAAAAAGCTCCAAACGGTGAGGTTTTCTCCTTGCATTTCCTTTTTTTGCACCTGTAGTTATTCTAATAGTACTCTCTCCCTTTCATCTGAGACACAAAGAGATGCATCAAGCGTTAAGTTCGTTTCATTAGGAAAACACTTCCAAACTTATTTTCACTATCATAAATATAATTTTACCACAAGAAATCATAGCACTTACCTATTGACCTAAAAGGGGTGTGTGTGTGTGTGAACAGGTTTGATCTATATAAAAAAATTGATTCTTCCACAGCAAAATTTAGAAAAGAATCAACATGAAAACAAGAATAAACACATTTAATACCTGGATCTCAGCCTGCTCTCCTATGCTTGGCACGCGGTAGTTTCCCAAGAAAGACGTGAAAGTACCGTGCAACAAAAAACAGGAATGTACACTGAATAAACTGAACACAGATTAGAAAAGTAAGCCAGATAAGGGAAGAAAAGAAAGCAGGTTTGTAATAAATAAATAAATAGATAGATAGATAGATAGATAGTGATGATCTTCAGTGGAAGAAGAAGAGGGATACTGAAATCAATGAATTTGTTCTGGGACTACGAAGCTCTTGGTCTAAATATACTCTTTCCTTCCCAGCAAGTAGCTTGGAGGTCCACATACTTGTCTCAGAAATGATGACATTGTTTAAAGCATTGTAGGGACCCTTTCTGATGATACTGAAAAGCCAGTTTACAAGTCACACAAAATAAGCCACCTTACTCAAACACTGACATGTCCGTGGCACGGTCCCATTCAGCGCTGAGACCCGTACCTTCGTGAGTATGTAAGTCGTGTTGAATAGGACTCCCAGGCAATAGCCTCCTTCTACATTAAAACCCACGAAGATCTCAAGGATGCAGAAATGAAACTCCCTTTTTAAGCTATCTTAAAATCTCCTGGAAAAGGGGCACCTGGGTGGCTCAGTGGGTTGGAGCCTCTGCTTCAGCTCGGGTCATGGTCTCAGGGTCCTGGGATCGAGCCCCGCATCGGGCTCTCTGCTCGGCAGGGAGCCTGCTTCCTCCTCTCTCTCTCTCTGCCTCTCTGCCTACTTGTGATCTCTGTCTGTCAAATAAATAAAATCTTAAAAAAAAAAATCTCTGGAAAAGAAGATTACAGATGGTCTAATTATAAACAGGACGCTGAATGGTTTGGTTTTCTTACATTCCATGTGAACAGAAAGAAGACAAATGCGTGCCTCGCTTCTGCACAGACACTGGTCTTCTTCACCTTCAATCGTTCCCCTTTCCCTACTAGTCCTTTCCTTTCTATTTTCAGATATCCTCATTCTGAAACTTTCCCTGCTTTCATCCTGTTCCCTGGGCACATCCTACCTTTGCTCTTTCTCTCACAGGCAGATTCCTCCCTGATACCGTTTACTTACAACGTTTAACTCTTCACTTTCTCGGTTTACTTACAATGTTTCCCTCTTCACTTTCTCATCACCGGTGTTCCTGGTGTTCCTTCTTGGTTTCTCCACGTGAGCCAGTGTTATCATTTGCCTCCCAGTTCCCCGTATTTCAAAAGCTGGCACACAGGCTGATGGTGTAATCATGTTGGGGGCGATATCTTCTATCATGCCCCTAGAGCAGGAGCGTAGCATTTATCCAACAGTTTTCATTATGTCACATTATTCTCCGTGACTTCTCCCCCACTATATCTCATTCCCAGCCTACTGGCCAGCCCTTCCGCTGTATCCTGTTTTACTCACCAGCCCCCCAGCAGCTTGCAGGGTAGGTCCAGACGTTATCAGCTCCCGGGAGCCCAGGACGCTATTGGTATTCTAGGGAATGCCTATCAGCAGGACTTTCCTTTGCGGTCCTTGAGCCCGCAGAGTCTCTGCTTCTCCTCCCAAGAGCTCCATTTTTCTTACATCAGTACAGTAGGGTGTTCTTACTCATTTCTTAGTTAACAGGTTATTTCTTAGGGATTTCTCTGCCAGATTTTATATTCAAGAAGTTCTGTACAAAAATTTTATTTTATTATTATAAGAGATTATTTTAGGGGTGCCTGGGTGGCTCAATCATTAAGTATCTGCCTTCAGCTCAGGTCATGATCCCAGGGTCCTGGGATCAAGCCCAGCATCAGGCTCCCTGCTCAGCGGGAAGTCTGCTTCTCCCTCTCCCACTCCCCCTGCTTGTGTTCCCTCTCTCACTGTCTCTCTCTCTCTGCCAAACAAATAAATAAAATCTTTTTTAAAAAAAGAGAAATTATTTTAAAGTAACTAAGTGTGTGTGTGTATGTGTGTGTGTTACTCTTAAGACTAGCAAAAAAAAACACAATATTTTTTTAGAATGAAAAATCAGTCCAGTTGCCAGAGACTTGATATTTTCCTAGTGTTTAAAAATATAGGCACCTGGGTGGCTCAGTCCGTGCAGCACAAGAATCTTGATCTTGAGCAGAGAGATTGTGAGCTCAAGCCCCACATTGGGTATAAACACTACTTAACATTTTTTCTTTAATCTTTAAAAAAAAATAGTAGCCAAGAAAAGTTGTCCTCTCATCTAAATTCCCTGTCACCAACCCCAAATATTATTTTATGATGAACTTCATAAAGTTAGCTATACGCAAGAATGAACGCATCCATACTTAAAATGTTAAACATATTATATGAAAATCAATATTGGAGATGCCTGGGTGTCTCAGTCGGTTAAGCCATTGCCTTTGGCTCAGGTCATAATCCCAGGGTCCTGGGATCGAGTCCCATATTGGGCTCCTTACTCAGTGGGGAGCCTGCTTCTCTCTCTGCCTCTGCCTGCCACTTTGCCTGCTTGTGCTCTCTCTCTCTTACAAATAAATAAATAAAATCTTTTTGAAAAATAAAAATTAAAAAAAATAAAAATCAACATTGCAATCCATTTCTTTCAAAAGTACAGACTGTCACCTCCATAACTAAAAGTGCCAAAGGACAGCAACCAACTTACTACATAAATTTAAATCATCTATTGTTTGGGGGGAATACTTGTTGTCCCTGAGCAATTTAAAGTTCAGCAACTATAATATACAGAGGCTTGAAACTTTAGATCCTTGAGGGAAAATGTCCCAATGATCCAATTATACCAAACTTTTAAAAATCGAGACAGAGTGAGCCACAGTTCTCCCAAAATAATTTCAAAGAACTCATAAAAACAAAGTCTTCTATTCCCACACACAACGGACTATTACTCAGCCATCAAAAAAAAAAAAAAAAAAAGAAATCTTGCCATTTGCAGTGACATGGATGGAACTAGAGGGTATTATGTTCAGTGAAATAAGTCAATCAGAGAAAGACCATCATCCTATGATCTCATTCATATGTGGAATTTAAGAAACAAAACAGAGGATCATAGGCGAAGAGAGGAAAAAAATAAAACAAGACACAACCAGAGAGGGAGACAAACCATAAGAGACTCTTAATCATAGAAAACAAACTGAGGGTTGCTGGAGGGGAGGCAGGTAGAGGGATGGGGTAACAGGCTGATGGACATTAAAGAGGGCATCTGATGTAATGAGCACTGGGTATTATATAAGACTGATGAATCACAGACCTCTACCTCTGAAACCAATAATATATTGTATGTTAATTAATTGAATTTAAATTCTTAAAATATTTTTTTAATTTTTTTTTCTTGAATGATTACACAGTAGAATATTTAACATTCTACAGAGAAAAGATATCCCTAGAATTCTAAGATACACATTTTTTCATTTGTGGAACTACTCCCCAGTTTTCAGAGTTTATGAGAAGAAAGTTTACTCTTAAACCACTTGTCCTAAACAACTGATGTTGTTTAGGACAAGTGGTTTAAGAGTAAACTTTCTCTTAAAAGTTTCTGATTACACAGTACATCTACTGTGTAATCAGAAATTTTACTCAATACACATATTGAGGAGGGCCTTAAAGCAATGAGCCCTCAGTAGCAATGGACAGATCTAGCACCCAGATCTTACTTTCTTTTTTTTTTTTTAAGATTTTTTTTTTTTTTTAACAGAAATCACAAGTAGGCAGAGGCAGGCAGAGAGAGAGAAGAGGAAGCAGGCTCCCTGCTGAGCAGAGAGCCTCATGTGGGGCTTGATCCCAGGATCCTGAGATCATGACCTGAGCTGAAGGCAGAGGCTTAACCCACTGAGCCACCCAGGGGACCCAGATCTCAGTTTCTAAACACAATTCTCACCTAAAAAGAAATTGTAAGGGCCTACTTAATCAGAGGGAGCCATTTTGTTGTTTATGCAGTAAACTTAGATTGACCCTATTTAGTAAACTTAGATTGATCCTGCCCTTCCCAGAGGAACTTACTTGCAAAGCCCAGATACAAGGGCAGGTCAGGCCAGGTTGAGACAGCCAATCAGTGGGGCGTGCATCCTGTCTCCCTAGCTACCAGTCCCAGGTAGCAAAACCCAGATACAAGGGCGGGTCAGGCCAGGTAGAGACATCCAATCAGTGGGGCACGCATATATCTACTAGGGTGAATTGTAATTCAATTGGCCGCCTGTGTGTGACCTAACATGACTGTGAAGTTTTCTCTGTGTATTGCAATCTCATTGGCCACCTGTGTATAGCCGGGCTAAACTACCTCTATAAAAGTTAGTCTGGGAGGCTGGGAGGGGTCGCCTCTTTGCAAGAGAAGACCCTGACGGGTCAGTTTGATTCTCGATGCTTGGTGCGAAATTAAGCTTTGCTTGATCTTCGCTTTGTATCAGTCTCGCTCCTTTGATTACGGACCCTAACAGAAATGTAGTTCCCCTTTTCTCAGCTGGAGCAGGAAAAGGACAAGACTGATCTAGAGCAGCTTACTGCAGTAGAATATCAAGAAGTATGCAAAGAATGACAGGACTATTTCAAAAGGCCACAGGAACCACTTGATGAGGCTCCCATTGGCCACATCTGTGACAGAATATTTTGAGCATCAAATTAATTAATGGTTAAAATAGATTATAATCCAGAGAATAAAATCAGAATGCATGAGCTCCTTCTGAAAGAAAGTAAAGAAAACTCTTCCTCACCGGAGGATGCCAAAAAACAAATATAAAAGAATGATGTCATTAGAAA